GCCCCCACTACCATTAGAATATACACAAACATTTTAGCGTTTCATTCTGAGCAGAAGACCCTCACACCTGAAGAGTGCTGACTGTGACGAATTAAACCGGTTTTACAGGTTTCAATCACAGACCGTGTGCTTAAGAACACTCTAAGTTCCAATTCAGTAGAATAGAACATTTTTGCCTTGAAGCAATTTCATGGAGGAGGCTTCTAAAATGAACCATGAAAAGTAAATAAAATCCTTGAGTAATGAAATGGATCAGATATTTTAAAGCATTCTTTTTCTTTCAAAGCAGTTTGGCCTTGTGATAATGGAAGCAGCTAAAAACAGGTTACAATTATCACAGATACAGTACGTGTACTTACTACCTTTAATCATTAGTGTGTATATGCTTGTCACAGAGTGAGATGCCCCACGAGGCACCACAAATTCAAAATGTCAATTTCCACCTCCCCTTAATTGGGGTAAAGGGGGGGACAAAGGAAAAGACTGTGAGGAGGGGAAAAAAGGTAAAGGGAGTAGTCCAGTCAGTCCAGATCAGATGATGTACTGTGTTGTAAAAGATATAATACAGTTCATAAAATAGTATTCGTTGTTATTAGGTAAACACGGGAATGTTCTCTGCTGTCTGTCTCTGCATCAACTACAGTTCAAGAACAAATAACAAATTAGGATTGAGTGGGAAATGAAAGAATGAAAATAAACCACAGTGCTAGGTATAATTTATAGGTACATGTGTTATTTCCTTTATTGCTTGGCACAGCTCTGACAAAAGAGTAATAAAAGCAGAGTCACAATTTTTGATAGACAAATATTTATTAATGATACAATTAAACTACTCAACATTAAACAAAAATACCAGTTAAATGTTCCCCATATATTAAACTATACGTCTAAAATGCTTGCGTCCTACATATCCAGAAACACAGAATTCTACACCTGTAATCTGGACACTATGAAATACCTAAACAGGCCGAGAAAAATACCCTGCATCCTAAAAAAATAATACAACCCAAGCATAATCTCCCTTCCTACAACATGAATGCCTACAAGTGGACTGATATCTACAGTACTTTCCTATTCCAAAGATGCATCACCAAATTAGGAGAGAATGTTTGTGGCCTGAGGACTACACTGTATGGGAAGTCAGAAATTACAAAGATAAATAGGACAGCAAACTCTCTGAAACAAAATTCACTTTGTTTAAAGCTTGTGTTTAATAGCAACAGATATAGATTTCAAATTTTGTCAATTTGGGATAGGACAGGTATATTGACATTTTCTCTGCTTTGAATTTTACATGATTATTAAGCCTTACCATTTTTACCCATAAAACGTTTTTGGGTTACTTTGCCATTCAGGGTTAATTAACACAGGTAGTTGGGACAGCCTGCTGAATTTGGTGTGTGTAGCACCGAGTGGTGTTGAGCAAATGTGACCAGTCTCCAAGGAGATTGAGGACAAAGACAAACACAGGCATGCACACAGTCACACCTAGGCTAATTAACCTACCAGTATTTTTATATGTATGGACTGTGAGAGGAAACCAGAATGCCCAAAGAAAACCCATGTGAACACAGGGAGAACATAAAAACTCCATACAGATAGGACTGCAGGTGTGGAATTGAACCCAGAGCCCCAGCTTTGCGAGGCTGCAATGCAAATAATTGTGTCATCATACCTTCCAAATCCTTATCATGTGAATTATTAATCAAAATATAAATGTAATACAGTACGTTGTAATTAAAAATAATAAAATACCAAAGGAACTAAATATACTTAAAAGGGCACATGTGGGCACAATAATGTATAAAATAACACAAACATCTACTGTAGCTGAATGGACAGACATACAGTGCTTGAAGGAGATCTGTGAGGGAGGCACACAGTTGTTAGCTAGTGGAGAATTTATGCATTTTCAGTAGTTTTCTAGAACTCTATATAAGCAAGGATTGTCCTGCAGTTTGGGAAGATAGTTACTCAATATGGAAACTATGCATGTGTGAGTTCCACAGATAGTGAGAGAAAGCTATACAGTACATTCTAAATTTACATACTTTGAATATAAAAGTGGGCATGTATGCAATTTGCAGGTGAGAGGAATTGTATTACTAAATGTAGGTAATATATTAATTTCTTTTTTTTTCCACAGGCAGGTAAAGCTCACTTTGGGTATGTGTATGGCATTAGTGCCTTGGGATGCCTTGGAATGTACACACTTTTGAACTTGATGAGTGTGACGGAAGTCTCTTATGGCTGTGTGGCCAGTGTTCTAGGTTACTGCCTTCTCCCAATGGTCAGCCTATCCAGTTTTGCCGTGTTCTTCTCCTTACAGTGAGTATTATCTGTTTGTTGCATTATGCATTATGGGTTACATTTACACCGTCATTATAAAAGCAGTGTTTTCAATTTTTTAAATACCAATAAAAATTGGAAGCTTATAGTAATTGTATTCCACATATATCCCTCTTGTTTTCAGAAGACCAAATTTTCAATGGAAGCATTTTACATTGTTACTGTTAAGACATTTGTTTTTACTTTCCAAAGGTAAAAAAAAACATACAGTAATAGCGTTTTGATTTTATATGCAATTTAATTTAATAAAACCCAAGTTCCTCACATTAAGAAAACAAATCCTGCATTAGGCTGCAATAATTTTTATGAAGATTTATGTAATTTTTACAAAAAATGTTACAAAGAAAAACTTCCTGAATATCAATTTGTTTGCCAATAAACTTCTCATAATTGTCCTGTAAATCATTTGGATAATCTTTCCTATGCTTTTTTAGTATGCCACCTGAATTCTGACAATATAAAAATCATAAAGAGAGAAGTTTACAATTAAAGGTATAAAGAACAGAGGTTAATTCCTTGCTGAAAAGTGGATTAAAAATACACTGTTTCAGCCATGAAACCACCTCCAATATGGCACCAGGGCCATGCCCAAAACTGCAGAAACAGTTGTGTTTTCTTTCTTATTTTCAGGAATCAGCATTTACTTGTTCCTATAAAGGTATGCATTAGTAAAGACAATTTAAGCCTTCCTGTTTCAAGTATTGTGCTTTGTTGCTTAGTATCGTTTATAAACTAGTGTCCTCTGCTTTAAAATCTTTCTCCCCCAACACACATTATTTACAAAAAAAAAGTAAAGTTAGGCACTGCAACCCCTTTTCAATTTTTTTCAGTTTAATATTGCAGTTTTATCACATATAAGTCAAGTATCTCAAAACCATAAAATGTTGGTTCTTTTTGTATTTTCTTGTACTTTTGTCAAATTATATTTATAATGTGTTTAGTAAGATTATGAGACTAAGCATGTATGTGTATGTATTTTTTTTCCAGAGGTATTCTTGGGACTATTTTTGCTCTTGTGATAATTCTTTGGTGCAGTGTGTCAGCTTCAAAAATTTTAATTTGCACTTTGGCAATGGAAGGACAACAACTGCTTATTGCTTATCCCTGTGCCTTACTGTATGGAGTGTTTGCACTTTTGACAGTCTTCTGAAGTTTTCCATTGTTTAAAAAGCCTCAAAGCCTCAGGTGAATACTATATACATGTATATATATATAACAAATTCCTTGTTCAAGTTGTATTAAAATGTTATTGTTTAAGGTTTATTGAAATGTTTATTTACTCATTTAGGTCATTTAAAAAATGTTTGCAACTTGATTGCATATTTATAACATTTACACTGCACTGCAAAGGTATATATTTGATGTATGGATATAGATCAGCTTTAACATTACTTTCCATTAAATGATTACATTTCTGCTTCCAAAATAGACACTTAAATATTCCATCACCAAATAAAGTGATTTTGTTATTGGCAAGAATATTTGTTTAACAATAGAATATTCATAATCACTTCATTGTTTTGAATGAATGTGAAGAAAGTTCTGCAAATGGAGAGCTCCTAATGGTTTTTGTTTGTTGATTTTGAAGGTGGTCACCAGATACTGTGTTTGGGAGGAAAAAGAAAATATTATTCGAATGTTAATTGCAGTCCTGGTATCATTAGCATCAAAAATGAAAAAGTAGAAGATCGTCTACGGAAGATCAGGAGCAGAAGAGGCTGCCATGATCCTAGCTAGCCTACAGTCTTTAGTCCTAGACAGCACCACCTAATATCTACCTATCACTTTTATACTGTAGTTAAATGTATTTACAGTACATTGCCAGATTACCTTAATGCATTTTTTTGGTCAGAACTGTCAACGGACATTGTGCCAATTTATTAAAATATCTGATAAGTTAACTATGACATGGGAACCTTCAGCTTATAGTCTCATCTCAATGTGCATATTTACTAAGGAAGCTTACTAACAGCCAGATTGAGTATCCACACCGGCCTTGACATTTCAACAAAAAAAAAGTTTTTTATATTCCCCCCAACCATCCATCATTTTTTAAACCGTTTTATCCAATACAGGGTCGCAGGGGAGCCAGAACCCATAATGGCAAACAATGGGTGCACCCCAATGGGATACACCCTGTTTGGAGACACCAGTCCATCACAGGGCACACACAGATACAGATGCAGCCATTCAAAGTGAGCGGTACAGACACGTACCGGAGGTAATTGGCTGCGGCGTCGCGCATCATGACGCAAGATGACGCGGGGTACTACGGTACGTGATTAATTGGCCAACAGGGGCACTCGTCGGTACGACAGTTGGTCGGTCGTAGAAAGATTTACAGTACAGTAAACGTCTTTACTGTGCCCGTTGTAGATATTGAATTTTACCACTGAAGGGAAATCTTAGTAGCTGAGCATAAAAAGAATAGAAGCATACTGTAACGC